AGGTGTGGACTATTTTCTAAATGGGGAAAGGCTTCAGAAATCTGAATCACAAGGGACTTGGGAGTCCTAGCTCAGGGATCTCTTAAGGTTAACATGCAGTTTCACTTGGCAGTTAGGAAGGCAAATGTATTGTTAGCATTCATTTCAAGAGGGCCAGAACATGGGAGCAGAGATGTACTGCTGACGCTGTACAGGCTCTGGGCAGACTGCATTTTGAATATTGAGAGCATTTTTGGGTCTCGTATCTAAGGAATGATGTGCTGCCCTTGGAGGGATTCCTGAGGAAGTTTACAAGAATGATCCTGTGAATGAAGGGTTTTTCATGAGGAGTGGTTGAGGACTCTGGGTCTGTAGTTGATAGAGTTTAAAAGAATGAAGTGGGATCTCATTGACACTTACAGAATACTGAGGCCTGGAATAAAGTGGATGTGGAGAAGATGTTTCCACTAGTAGAAGAGACTGGAACCCGAAGGCTCAGCCTCAGAGAGAAGGGGTCAACCCTTTAGAACTGAGTTGGGAAGGAACTTCTTCAGCCAGAGTGTTGCTTATCTGTTGAACTTATTGCTGCAAAAAGCTGAGGAGGCCAAGTCATTGATTGTCTTTAAGACAGAGATAGATAGGTTCTTGATTGGTAAGAGGATCAAGGGCTATGGGGAGAAGGCAGGAGAACGGTGCTATGAAAGATATCGGCCATGATCGAATGGTGGAACGGATCTGATGGACCAAATGGCCTAAAGCTGTTCCTATTATCTTAGTCTCTCAACAGATGATGTCAGACCTCTGAGGTTCTCCAGCAATTTCTGTTTCTGTAACTTTGCTTCTTCCCTGGCGTTTTATCAACAATCTCTTTGTCTGTCTAACCTTTTCCTTCTCTCTCTCTCTCTCTGTGGGCTCCATCTCTACCTTTTTACTCACTCCTTTGCTCCTCAGCCCCTGTCATCAAGCTAACTACCATTTTCCTAGATGCTATCAGTTCTGAAGTATTATCACTGAACACAAAATATTAACTCTGTTTCTCTCTCCATAGATGCTGCCAGACCTGCTGAGTTTCTCCAGCAATTTCAGTTGTTGGGTTGAACATAACATCTTTTGTTTTTCATAAATATGCCACTGCATTTTGCATGCAATTATTTAATTGGAAATGCTGTCACAATTAAATAGGCGAACTGAGGAAACAGCTTCAATTGACTTCCTGCTCTGCAAAACACTTTTCTTCATAAAAATTATATCCTTGAATTGAACAGTTATTTTTACTTCCCTTAAAGTTAATCATGTTCAGTTCAATAGAGAACGAATGATTACAAATCAATAAAAAGCCTTGAAACTAAAGTGACCTTGAAAGACAAATTATTGCATCTTGTTCTGTACTTATGGGAAATTGTACCTGTGTTCATGAATAATAGATACTGTTTATTTTGGAGGGTTATTCAGAACAAAGGAACCTCCATTTGACAGATGCTTCTCTCAGCAGGTTTTTCAGTGTATGCGTGTCTGTCAAAGTAAATAATGCAAGTCATTCCATGACTGAAGGAATTAAAAAGAAAAAGGGAAAGAAATTGCATTTATCTAGTGAGCTTTATGACCTCAGAAATCCGAATTGCTTTACAGCCAATTAAATGCATTTACTGTTATGAGTAAAATGGCAGCCAACTTATACACAAGATCCCACCACCAATGATGAAATAAATGACTCAGTTCATGTTGCTAAAGGGCTAACGTATTGATTATGAAACCAGAATTCTAGTCTTTGAGGATTTTCATGGAGTATTTTACATCCAGTTGTCTCAACAAACAGATCCTCCATTTAGGGTCTCACCTAAAAGGTGTCTTCTCCTGCCATTCTCTCCATACTTGAACTGTTAACCTAAACAAATGTGATCCAATCTCTAGAGCACAGTTGGAGTCAAAGTCTTGTGATACAATGGTAAAAGTGCTACCAATGAGTTAAATGTATTGCATTGTGAGAAAGGAATACAGTCATTAGGACTGGTTTAGAACCTATTAGTTTCACAGAGACTACCTCATTTATCAAACATTTGAAAGCATCAAATACTCAATGTGTTGGAGAATCCTTTTATTTTGGCATCAGCTCAGTGACTTTGGGTGGGTGGTAACGGTAATAAAGATGAGCAAAGTTTTAATTGCTTCAGATCATTAAGCAGCAAACCTTGCTTACGGTGTAAGGATGAAAACAGCAGCAGATTTAATTATGGTACCTTCTAACACTGACGTAATGTATTGTAACCCACTGACAAAGCTTATAACTTTCTTTAAAAATGCAACTTCAGAGAAGCAACATACTGTTGCAATGAAACCATATCCCAGCAAGACGACAACACCTTCAGGAGAAAGGAAAAGCAACATTGTGAGAGAAATTTCCAAGAGCTTTTTTCAAGAATTGGTTTCATATTAAATCAGTAAGGTTTACACGTCAGAGATAGTAGGAACTGCAGATGCTGGAGAATCTGAGATAACAAGGTGTACAGCTGGATGAACACAGCAGGCCAAGCAGCATCGTAGAAGCAGGAAAGCTGATGTTTCGGGCCTAGCCCCTTCTTCAGAAATGGCCATTTCTTCAGAAATAGTAAATGCTTACTCTAGGTTTTTGTCTTTGATATGACATTCCGTAAGTAACGAGCAACGAAATGTGCTCAGGACGAGGCAAAGGGAACAGACTGCCAGAAAGGACTAAAAACATTGCCCAAATTTTCCTTTGATACTTTGTCAAGAATTTTGAAGAAAGCTCACTAATTATCTGCATTTATAGGCAGTGCCTTTGACTGTCACAAATATACAGGTTCCTAATACAAACAGCAATTTAAAAATGGTATATATGCCAGTGAAATTACCTTGCATAATCTACTATACTTTCAAAGAAAGGGTACATCACAAATGAAACAGAAACCATTTCTGTCTAATGCTGAAGAGGATTGATCTATCTGTAAACTAAAATTTCCATGGAACGCACCACTCGAACACTTGCTGATTTTAGACATGCATAAATGTTCTCTCAGTAGTTTAGGTTACTAAGTTGAGCAGGGTAGCAAACAAAATATTTTAATACATATCTACTGTTCTCCTTAATTTGTTTGTTATGCTTGAGCTAATGTTTTTGTTTTTAGTAGCTCTAAAATTCATGTAACTGTTTACACAATTATTGTAACATTATCAATGAAGTTTTTGAGATGCTGGTATAAGCGGACTTTAGAAATCAGAAGCCAATGTTGGATACATTCATTCCAATTTTAGTTCCACTGTCTCTGAATGAAACAAACAGTTTCTAATCTCAGCATATTCTCCCCGACCCTGAGCTGAACTTCTGAACCCATATCCTCACCATCCACCCCGTAACATTGCTAGTGCTCCATCCCGTCTCAGTGTACCTGCTGCTAAAATCCTCACCCCATGCTTCTGTCACCAACATGCTGCATTATTCCTATGATGTCTCAGGTATCATTTATTTTCCACCCTTCATAAACTCGAGCACCCTGCTCTGTTCAGGTGATGCCCTGTGCTCACATTGGCGTCTCGTTGACCAATGCATTCATTGGAACATTCCCCGTGTTCCATTCCTACATCCATTTACCAATATGCCTGTAATTTCTTCCAGCTCTATAACATTAGGGTGTTCATCTGACTCTAATCCTTCACACAGGCCTTCTCCATGTGTCATAGCTTTGGCTGACGCACTTCTAGCTGTAAAGCTGACGTTGTGAAATTCATTCTTTGACCATCTGTGCCTCACTCTTCTCTTTTTATATCAATATTTCTAGCTCTTTAACTAAGAATTTGATCACCTGTCCAAATTTCTCATGTGTCAATTTTTGTCTGATTTACAAGCCTTTGAAGCAAATTGGTTTTTGTTATTGCCAATTACTGACATGTAAATGTGCCACAATGGATAAAACCCTTCGATTGCAGCTCAAATATCTAAATTGGTACTAATTGTTTAGATTGGTTCTAAATATATTGACGCACCAATTCTAAGAGAACATTCTTACTGTGTACTTTACTTATCATTAGTGATTAGGATCTTCCTGTTACATTGGAAACCATCTGTTATTTATGATCTTAAGTAGCATTGGAAGTGCCTCATGAGATCAATATAAAATAATGATTGTAGTCACTGAATATCTGGTTATGTTTTAATAGATTCGACCTTGTGGCATTGGTATTGCTTATAAAGTAGCAGTTGAGTTTACATATCAGAGTTGGTGCAGATACATCACTGTAAAGTTAGGAGGAACAGGTTGGAAAGTTATGCTAAATATATTTGCTTACATACAGGGAAAAAAAAAGAAAATTTCACAACTATTTCAATTTTTCAACAACCCATTCCAAAGTCAAGACATATTAATATCAATACGGAGGAACTGGAGCGTTTTATTGCAATTTTAACACTGACACAAGAAAAAATTTGTTTCCAAATGTGACCACAGACTCATTACACTTAAAATAAATGTTTTCAAAGAGATCAGTCTGATGTTTTAAGGGATCAGTCTGATGTTTTAAGGGATCAGTCTGATGTTTTAAGGGATCAGTCTGATGATTGTATACTGGACAATTCGACAACAGTTTCTAGTCCTATTCACAATCAGAAAGTGTTTGGAGTACTCCACTTCATTTGATTAGAAAGTAGTGTCGTCAATGCTACAAATTCTGACTGAACTTTACTTACACTTTGTATTTTCATTTCATCAAACCGTAAGTACTGTTCACTCAGATGCAACCCAATTTATTGTGCATAGGCTTTCAATATATTGAACAATCAACAAATCAAGAATCTTTTTCCCTTGCAAAGATATTTTGTTCATATAATTGTGTTTACAGTAATTGTCTAGAATAAGTTCCATTGTTTCTCTCTTATGAAATTAATTATTCTGAAAATCTTAATACTCAGAGAATTGTATGCTGCATGGAAGTTGCTATATGCTTGGGTGATTGAAAATTTATGCTTGTGTGGTGTAAATGACATGACTGCAGTTACTTGAATAACAAAGATTATCTGTTACAGTGCCGTGGTACTCGATGGAAAAATCTATGCTACAGGAGGAATTGTCAGTAGTGAAGGACCTGCATTGGGAAACATGGAAACGTATGATCCCCACACAAATACTTGGACAATCCTACAAAACATGCCTTGCCCGGTATTCAGGCACGGGTGTGTAGTCATCAAAAAGTATATTCAAAGTGGTTGACACGATATGATATCAGTTCCTGAATTGTTTTATTCTGCTGTAGCAGTGCTTTAAAACAATGAATATTTTCTCTCTACTGTCTACATTGAATGTAGATTCCACATTCACCATTTGGTGAAATAGGGCAAAAATCCCTATGGATGTATTGTAATATAACTTATGGTGTTTCTAGTAGTGTCACAAGACCTGGCACTTGGTTTAGATATTGGGCAATTCGAGTATGAATGCCTGCTTTATAACAATCATCAGTTTTACTTTCAGTTACCTTTATATTGTTCAAGGCCATTTAGAAGGACAATTGGTTTGTAGAGTGTAATATCTACAGTACCAGAGTGTAGCAGCGTGTACTCTATTCAGTCAAAGTACGAGCGGTCCCACAGAGCACAAGAAAACCTCGATAATGTGGTAGATGATGTAAGCAAATCAGTTGTACACTGGGGCAAAACCGACAGGAAAACTTGGATAGTCCGTGTGTTGCACGTTTTAATCATGCACAATCGTAGAAAAAAAGCACTGAAAGTTATACAATTAGAATACTTTAAAAAAAATGCAAATCATGTTCTGCAGGCAATTTTCTCCAATACCGTGAAGGAAGGCCACTCAAACAAAAAGAAGTGAAAATGCAAATAATTTTGTGAAAAGATTATATTTGGAAGTAGAATTTTAGGTTCGCCTTGTTATCAGTTCCCCTATTGATAGTGAATTGTAACAACACCAAGAGGTATGCAATGCTGTTTTGTAAATTGCTATTGAGAAGCAGGAACAGGGAGATTAATGCCAGAAGTGTTTAGAAGCTGTAGCTGTAATGTCTTGCATTGCCATTTGGATTAATTCTTTCCGTGTTTGTATCATGGATGATACATAAACAAACGTACTGCACCAACAATAAATATATATAGGCCCAGAACTTGTTTCTGTATTCCCTCTTACAGTAGCTAATGTGAAAGTATCATTTAGCTGGAGTATTTTTGTTTAAACTTATTTGGCATATTTCATTTTATATTATCACAAAAAGTACCTAATCATTCCTTACCCATTTTATTCAGAAATACTAAACTGAAACAAGGCAAAATTATTTAAATCCAAGGCACTTTTTTGATAAAAGTAGTATTTTATTTTTCCTGATAAAATAACTCTCCATTTAATTGCACAGTTAAGTATCACTATGTGGTGAACTTGCTTCTTATATCTAGTATACCAGGAACATTGGGGTATATTAAATTGACTAGTAATCTTGATGAGATTCTGAAGAAGGGTCTAGCCCAAAACATCAGCCTTCCTGCTCCTCTAATGCTGCTTGGCCTGCTGTGTTCATCCAGCTCTACACCTTGTATGTCTCAGTAATCTTGATGAGTTAGTTAATGGTCTGGAGAAATGGGTTCAGATCCCACTACAGTATCGAGGGAACTTAAATTCAATCAATCAGTCAAATAAACTTGCGAAAAAGAAATCAATAATGATGACCACATAACTATTGGAGTGTACAGTCCCACTTAGTTCATTAATGCCTTTTAGAGAAGAAAATCCTCTCTCAGTCTGGTCTATGTGATGCCCGACTCAGAACAATGTGGCTCCTAAATTTCCACTGCAATAGGTTGTTGTGAAGTCAGCTCACTGCTGCTTTCTCAGAAGTATTCAGCAATGGACAATAAATATTGGTTTTACCACATGTACAGCATCTACATCTGTGAAGAAATAAGGGGGAGGTGGGGTGGAAGGGAAGGAAAGAAAACAAGCTGCTGATGCATTTACTTCTGATATTCGTGGCTCAAAACAACTCATATGAGTAATAGATAATCTATATTGTCTGATCATCCAAGGCAGAGGAGCTGGTATATATGATTACTATGATCACGGAAACATCAGTGTGTACATCTTCTGTACTGATAGTTTAGGTTTCCTGTAAAAAAAAATCTCGTGTTATGCTCATACCAGTTTCAGCTTTTTAGTATGTACTGTATGAACATGATTTATATATTCATATATTAGGTAGTATCCTGAGTTTCAACTCTCCGAATATTGAATATAACATGTACAGTAGTTCAAAGAATAGACAATTTTTCATTAGCAATGAGTTTTTTGTAAACTTCCAATATCAAAATTATATATATATATATGTAAGGTAGAACTACAGCAATTTATGGACCAAAATACTTCTGTACAGTATTTTCTGATAAAATTGTAATCTTATTTAATAAATTATTAGGGCATTTACAACCATACGTTGCAATGGGCCCTTGTCTGAAGTGGCTTTTCGAGGTCACTTGATATGCAAGAAAAGCACATACTCAAACTGTAATTTTAAATCGCAATGCTTAATCAATGAAATAGACCCAATCAGATAATGGCATGAAAATGAAAAGAAAAAAGGAGCATCTTATGCTACTCAGATCTAACTAATCCCTTCTGACAGATTCCCTCATCACTACATTATTAGTCTCCTTCCTTGCACATCTGCCACACACTGCTCGAGTATATCCTGAGGCTTCATTGATTTTGAGTAAACCAAAGTCTGAACATGTTGTTACAAATAGCTGATATTTGTCACAAAGCTGCAGGTAAATTCAGACAAGGTCCTTGTACCTCATTCACCAACTTAGCCAAGGGAGCTTAGATGGGAGTTAATGCTGGTTGTTCTAACCTCAACACATCTCTGACACACTGTCCCATTCTCTCTACCACTGCTGTGGTGTTTATAGGCAGCACTTGTAATCCAACAACAATGTGACACGATAGGAAGCCAATTCACACTTAAGATTGGAAATTCATGACATTCACTCAGCAAGTTCTTGATACATCTTACAAAATTTGTGTTAGGGGAGGTGATGGCCTGGTGGTATTATCGCTGGACTGTTAATCCAGAGACCCAGCTAACGTTCTGGGGACCTGGGTTTGAATCCCGCCACATGGTGGAATTTGAATTCAATAAAATATCTGAAATTAAGAATCTAAATGATGACCATGAATCGATTGTTGGAAAAACCCATCTGGTTCACTGATGTTCTTTAGGGAAGGAAACTGCCATTTTTACCTGGTCTGGCCTACATGTGACTCCAGACCCACAGCAATGTGTTTGATTCTTAACTGTCCTCTGAGCAATTAGGGATGGGCAATAAGTGCTGCCTAGCTAGCGATGCCCTCATCCCATGAATGAATAAAGGAAAAGAAATTCAAATGATATAATCTATTGAACTTAAGCTTTCGAACACGATTTACAAAGACACTCCCAATTTCAATCATTTATTTTTCATTTATATTTCTTCTTTCTCAGTCAGACAATGTCGCAATTCTTCCATTCATCATTTTCTTTCCCGTCTCAACCTTCATTATTCCTCCCTCAGAACCATCACATAAACAGTCAGACACACAGAATAATTCTTTAACCAGCTTCTGAGAGGAGTCAGATATAATCAAGCAAACAAATGATACACAATAACGCTTTGGGACAGGAGGATGCGCCATATTACAATATGCATTCATAATGTGGTTTTTCTGATCCTTGAGTAACAATCTGTAGTCACTTTGCCTTTGGATCTTCACCAGTCTCCAACTCTCCTGTTTTGAGATAGAAATATTTATTCTCGACTAAATACTGCTAAGGATTTATTAGAAATAGATTTTGATCCCAGCAACATCTGTCCATTACTCTTCCACATGAATTTGCAGAATGCTAACATCTGTGTGTTCCTGGCTCAGTACATACCACTTCAGATCTGAGCCTTCATTCATTAGAGACCAGCGCAGTTCAACTAAAATAGTTTTATTGTTGGTTTCTGGAATTAGGTTACCTGGTTCAAAAACTCAACCATGGAGCTGGCAGTATGGATGCAGTACATTCTTCCAACCAACTCGGTATTTTCCTTCTAGTCAAGTACTTAAGTTGTCAACAGTTGTGGGCTTGATTAGAAAGACAGAGCATTAAATATTCTATTATTTAAATCTGTTGTTTAAACTTCTAATTGCTTTGACAGATTTTCCAGTGTGTAGGTGATGCAGAAGTGGACACCAAAATTCCTAAAAATATTGCGCTTTAAGTTGTCCTTTCATGCAAAAAAAAGTTTTTTTCCCCCCTTTGTGGCAAGCTTTGTAACCTAGTCTTATGATCTTTAGCATTTGGAACAGTAAACGTTGCAGGCAGAAACACAAATGAACATACAGGGGGCTAAGACACAAAATGCAATTTTACATTCATTGAGCTGGCTACGATGATTACGCCTTACAATACAAACCCTCTACACATACAAATCTATCAAAGTTGGAAATGCTGTCAAACTAGAATTAAAATAGGTGATAACTGGAAAGGGGCCTGAACCAAAGCCTATGACGCAGAAGTTTGATTGCTAATTATGACATTGGATTTCAAGATTCTTTAAGTGTGTTTTTGGAGTAAAAAATTGAAATGCAATATATTTAGAGAAAACAATCATAATGCTGCAGATGCTAGAAATCTGAAACTAAAACATAAAAATGTTTTGAAAATATATTGCAGAATAGCTATCATACAAAGAAAAAAAAACAGATGGTCACATTTTGGATGTAAACCCTTCTCTACAATGGATGGAACCAAATCCAATTTGTAACTTTGTCTGTTTTACTCTGTAGATACTGACTTAAACATTCTGAGCATACCAGCATTTTCTGGTTCTACATGGGAGGGCTTATAATGTGTCCTCTATAATTAGTGCAGAGAACAGCTTTTATATAAATACTGAATAAATGAATATCCCTCCCATTATAAGGTTATTGCATGTATCAGGCACCATAAAGTTTGGATACTTGTGTGTGGCTGCCACTCCAGCTCTATTCTTGAGTTGACCCACTGTAGACCAAGGCAGTAACAGCAGAACACTGGTCAGGATCAGCAATTCCAGCTGCTATTGTGACTATTCATATTACAGTGGCACAGAGATCATGTAACTGATGAAAACTGACAGGACAACACTAGGACCACAACTCATGAGAGCGAAGTACACTGTTCATTTTGAAACTAAAAACTGCCCACAGAAATTCAGTGTGTTCTGGAATATTACAGGAATGGAGTAGGATGGTGGGTCTGGGTTTGATGCTCTTCAGAGGGTCAGTATGGACTCAATGGGCTGAATGGTTCATTTCTACACTGTAGGAATTCTATGATTCTAAAGTTACGAGTCACTGGAATTTTATGCAATTAACCACAAGCCACTTAATTTTAACTCTGACTCCTATATACACAACAGAGGCAATAGCCTAGTGGTATTATCACTGTGTTAATCCAGAGACCCAAATAATGTTCTGGGGACCCGGGTTCAAATCCCGCCACAGCAGATGGTGGAATTTGAATTCAATAAATATCTGAAATTAAGAGTCTAATGGTGACTCTGAATCCATTGTCAATCGTCAGGAAAAACCCATCTGGTTCACTAATACCTTTGGCCTACATGTGACTCCAGACCCACAGCAATGTGGTTGACTCTGAACTGCCCTCTGGGCAATTAGGGATGGGCAATAAATGCTGGCCTAACCAGCGATGCCCTCGTCCCATTAATGAATAATAAAAAAAGACCATGTGGAAATCATTGCATGAATTCAGTTACTTCCTGTAAGGATGCTTCAGTCTGCATTACTGAACAGCCATACAGGCTACTTGTCTCTGTTGCTGGACAGCTCAGAATGTGTGAAATGCAAAAGAATCGAAAAATCCTTCAGTGCAGATAGAGGCAATTTAGCCCACCAAGCCTGCACCAACCTTCCACCCAGACCCCCACCCTACCCCTGCAGCCCTGCACTGCCCATGGCTAATCCACCTAGTCTGCACATCCCTGGACACTATGGTCAATTTAGCATGGCAAATCCACCTAACCTTCATGTCTTTGGACTGTGGGAGGAAACCCATGCAGACCGAGAGAGAATGTGCAAACTCCACACAGAAAGTCGACCCAAGGTTAGGATCGAATCCAGGTCTCTGGTGCTGTCAGGCAGCATTGCTAAGCACTGAGCCACCCAGAGAGAGGCTAGAACACACTAACCTCTGTGGGCAGCATTTTGAAAGATCAGCAATGAGCACCATTCATTTACAAACAACCACAACATCTGGCTTAATAATTTGTTGCATTTGGTCCACACCAGTTGGATTTGTTGTTTTGAAGGATTGAGACTTCATTTAGAATCAAAGCACAACCAATAAATTTAATTCATAATTTAATATCAACTGAATTGAAGTTACCTGCCCAACAACCACTGAATAACATTTGAGAGATACGCAAATTATTTCTCCTGATCCTGCTCATGCCCAGTTCAAGGATTTGCGCAACAAATTTGAGCCTCATAGCGGCCATTGTAAAACTTGGCTGCTTGTACAAAATACAAGCAATTAGTAAGTAACTGTTGCCATAAATAGATTTAACAGATCAGCTCTAATTTAAGTATTGAGCAAAGTGCATTGATCAATTTATACTTCTTGATGCTCATAATCTCTTGATGACAAAATCTGCCAATTTTACTTCAAGTTCACAAGCAACACCAATTAGGAATGGCCATCACAACATGATGGATGGATGCACAACACATGGGAGTCAATAAGGTCAGTTGGCTGGATTCTGACACAGAGCAATGCCAACAGCATGGGTTCAATTCCCACACCAGCTGAAGTAACCCTGTTTCCATTGAGAACTCACTTTTAAAAGACAATGCCTAGCTGGCTGCAAAAGATCCTTTTATGCTGAAAGTTACTGATTTCAAAATATTGCTGCAACCAGTGGAATGTTTATGCAAATCAGTCAGATTATCGCTAATGTCTTGAGTAGCACATTTCCCTTCAGACAGGGTCACCTCAACTCAGCAATCTCAATTACACACATCCTATTGAAAAGACATCAGTGCCAGGTGAAAACACACATTATTCAGATCAAATTACATCCACACATCCAATTCCCGTGCACCTAAGGAGATGCAGCAGACCCTTTAAGCAAAACTTTGAAAAATATATTTAAACAATTAAACTTGCAGACAATTGAAAATATATGTGTTCCTAATCAGGGACCAAATGCAACAAGGTATTGGCCCAGATTTTGCTATCTCTGGCAAACCAACACTGGTTTCCATTAAAGCTACCTACAAAGATTTAATGGGCTCCAGAGTACAGATATCCTCTTTTCAAACATTAGTTTGAATCTTACACCTTCAACAGCAAATCTATGTTGTCTAACAACTGAAAGAAGCAGACAGGTTGGTCAGCTAATTGG